CACAATGATCTGTCTTCCAATGTGTCCATTGGACACAGAGGTTGACAGATTGCACAGCAGTGTGGCCGCTAGGTCATGTATGAGGTGCACAAGTGGGAGGACTTCATTAGAGGGAGGACATATTATTATAAGTGGTTAGAGTGCAACTAAAGGAAAATGTTTTGTCTTTAAGTTTTAAATAGGGTTGAGAGGGATTAGAACTCCTGTCAGTTTTCATTGCTGTCTTTGCCCCTTTGGGGAGATTCACTCTCTATTTGTTATGTTTACCATTATCATCAAAAGTAAAATCTCATATCTTGGGCTGACACCAGAACAGTAATAGAGGGGAAATCTTTCAATGGGGACACTAGTTCTGTTGACCCTCGTTACACTCCGGGATTCCCTCATTTTGGGGAGTTTACTCTCACTTTCTGTTTTGGTTATGGGACATAAAGTGAAGGGAAAACTTCCCTATGGGGCACAGATGGCAAAATAAAAACTGACAGGGGTTATAACCCTTCTTTATTCAAAATTAATACAAAGTTTTACCTTTATTTACACTTTAAGGACTGCAATATTATTTTTTTTTCTGTTTTTTGGATTTGTGTTCGTTTTAAAGTGGAAGAAAAGCCTAAAGCTATCTATTCTTAAAATTGTTACCTCATCCAACCTATCCCACCTAACCTGTATAATAAAGATCTGTGTACTTAACTATTTTCACTCTCAGGAGATTTGGAATGTGATTAGGTGATGCCACTACTGTTCTCCTTGTTGGAGGCTGACAGGGAAACAAATGAAATAATAGACACCTAATCTGACTCACGTTTTTAGGTCGGGCAGATGTCTATTGATGGTTAGTAGGCCTAATACAGTTGTTATGTAACTCCCAAGATAATCCAGCACCTGCAATAGGAGTCTGAACCCCTGTACACCTTCTCTCTCCATATCTAAAAGTTCGTGAACATTTGGCTTTATGGAAGGGCCAAATGACAATGGACAGTTGTTCCATAAATATCAGACTGCCCTCTTACGTCCCCCCCCCCCCCCCCCCCTCAATGCACAGAGCTCATTATTTAAAAGCTTTCTTGTTAATACCATTTATCTAGCTAATTAATAATTAATCATTCTGTGTGTTTTGAAGAGATTATCACTATGATAGCTTAATGTGCCTCAGGCCATGCCTTCATTAATCAGGACAGAGAGGAAAACTTTGCTGTGTATGTCTCCTAGCTGGCAAGGCCCTTGTTTCCCTGTATGACAGTGTTGTAGAGTAGAGATCCAGTAAACAATCACACAATGTAACTGTTCGTAAAGCTGTAAACTTTTATGGGAGAATTCTGCCGTGAGATTCAGACAGCTGATCTGCCAAGTGCTTGCTTTCCTAACAAACAGGCTTTATTCAACAGTTGCCCTCCAGGGAAAATGCCAGTGGGGGAATCCTTATTGGAAAAGACCCACAGTAAGACAGCATATGCTGAATTAATGTCATGAACATAAGACTCAGAAGATTAAACCGACTTGTTTTGCTTGCCAGGAAGAAAAACAAATACACAAAAACATCACTTAGGTGATAGGCAGAAACTGAAACATATTAAAGGAAACCTACCATCCAAACTGAAGGTATTTAGGGTCTACTCATAAGGGTTTTGTAAAGGATTTGCCACATATTCATGTGCGTGATTTCCAAAGCACATTTAGTATCATTATTGCTGGTAGGTTAATTGGCTCCTGTCTAAATTGGCCCTAGTACGTGTATGTATGAATGTGAGTTAGGGATCTTAGATTGTACGCCCCTTGAGGGTTAGGGACAGATGTGAATGTACAATATATATATGTGTAAAGCGCTGCGTAAATGGACGGTGCTATATAAGTACCTGAAATAAATAATAAATAAATAATTATTCACTGACATAGTCACCCCTTCAATAACATTCACCAACATTAAGATCTTCCCTTCTCTTTTATGTTATATACTTTATTTATAAAGTGGCAAATACAAGCAAACTAGGACAAAATTAAGGGATCATTTAACCATTGTGATTAAATACAACAGTTGGCTTCTGACTTTTTCAATCTTGGCTATAAATGTCAAGACATATTCCCGGGTTCGTGCAAGGAGCAGTCTGACTGCTAAATTGAGCCAACTAGCTTCTGCATTCTACATTAATTTGTCTACCTATGACCTAAGGTCACGTTAACCAAGGTCTATCAGCTCATAAGCGGTAACCTTACCAATCTGCCATTGGATCTCTTAACCACAGTACTGCTGAAACTTTTGTAAAACCTGATAAATTATTGTTTGCACCCACATCCTTCCCAGAGACTTGCCCTGACCTTTGCCTGTCCTCAGATAAGACATTTTTTAACTCCTATCTTAACTAAACCAACAATCTTTGATTGAATACCAGGAAGGTGAATCCGTTCTAATGCTTCTGTATCTGCACTAAACACAGGAGGACCAAGAAAAATCACATTTCATAGAAGAACTCCAGATCGGAAATGCTAATATTAAAGCCGATGAACCCGATCTCTAGAAGGTTCCACCTCTATTTTGCAAACATCTCTGCTGATTTGGTAATTCATGAACATATCTTCAAATATTTAGCCATTAAGTGGAATGATCACTTTGGCCATCTAAAACTACAAGTGTGCCTTCCCTGAACCATCTCAATCATTAAAGTGTTACTAAACCCAAGACCCTGCATTCACTATATCTGGCCTCCCACAGTACACAGAACATTGAAAAGCAAACATTTTAATACATATTAACTGCTAAATACCTTTTCTCATCAGCAGTTAGAGCAGTCTTGTGACTTCTATCGGTGTCCAGCAGAGCACTAGTTAAAGCTTGTAGGAGGAGTTTTCATTCTCTCCTATTAGGTTGCATAACCCCCTGACTCTCTGTTTGGACAGCACTGATTGGCCCAGTGCTGTTCACATGCACTCTCCCAAGAAAAATAAAAACTCTCTAGCAATACACACCAAACTGAGCATGTGGAGTTTTCCCCCAAGGTTCTGTTCTATTAGCAGATGGATTGGGGACAGTAGAAGAAGGGGAGGAACAGAGAAGACAGGATCAAACATCCTTTTTACACAATGCGTAGGATTAACCCCTTAGGTTCCACAGTGAGTATACCAAGCATGCTTTACTGCATATACTGACTGATTTTACTGTTGTGGGTTTAGTAACATGTTAATTACTATACAAATAAAATTAAGGGAGAGTGATTAAAGTATCAGGTACTACCTTGATTTGATTCCAGGCAGCTGAGGGTGGGTCCTGCTTAGTGAAAGAATTAAAAAGAAAAAAAGCAGAACAAGAGCTACACAGCGACACAAATGCTTTGCTAATCGGTATTTTAATGCCTGTGTTTGTGGCCTTAGACCAGCCATATAATTCCAAATATGTAGCACTTCTGTTTCAAATGTTTCCACTCAAGTTTATGCAGAAATTGTAACGCCCTGACTTCCACCACAGTGTTTTATTGTTGTAAAAGTGTGCTCAAAAGACACCAAGACTTCAGCTGAAAAGCTGTAGATATCACTCACCTGAACCACTTACCTTACATCAAATAAGATGTAACATACACCGACCAGATCATCCTGTAAACCCAGTACCCATTACAGGTAAAGATGTTACCCCTTTATGACACTGCCACTCCTCCTCTGTATGCAGAAATGGGTAGTCAATGGAACTGATAGCCTTATAGAGACTGAATGGTCATTGGGATTCCTGGTCCTTCAAAAACCCCTCAAACACCCACAGTATGGTGAGAGCTTCTGGTGGAAGAATATATTGCAATGCCATGGAAAAAAAAGAAACTCAATTTTACAAATAACATCTTGTTGATGATATAAATACTAAATAATTCTAATTGTAATGGTTATGTGCAAGAAACAAGTTGTCATCGTTCTAATTTGGTGCACAGGATTCCGATAGTAGAGTTTCTCAGGATGATAGACAGTTTTTAATAAAATAACAGACTATTCTGAACCAGCTATTATACTTAGAAATACAGTAGGATTTCTCTATAGGATCCAGCAACTGCCCATTTCTGCATACAGAGGAGGAGTGGTAATTTAACCTGTAGTGGGTACTAGGTGTACAAGATGATTTTCTCAGGAGGTACCGTATTTTTCGCTCCATAAGACACTTTTTTTTCCCCCAAAAAAGGAGGGAAATGTCAGTGCGTCTTATGGAGCGAATATAAAGCGGCTAGTCCGGTATTTCTGCTGCCACCATGTCAGAATACTGGGCCGGCTGCTCAGCTGTTCTGTCCTGCAGGACCTTACCTGTTCCTCGCTCCAGCGCTGTACAGTCTTCCCACGCCGGCTTCTGTGACAGCCAGGTGTCCACTGCGCATGCACGAGAAGCACTGCACTTTTGTGAATGGTCCGGTGTCTTCTGGGACACGACAGGTCCCAGAAGGCGCCGGGCCATTCACAACGCGCAGCGCTTCTCGTGCATGCACACCCGGCTGTCACAGAAGCCGGCGCGGGAAGAAGAGGGAAGGACAACTCTGCGAAAGTGGGAGCGGGTACCTGTCAAATTCAGGTACCCGCTCCCCCTCCCTCCCCAAAGGTCCGCAGTCTCTGGTCATCTCCTTTACTGTCTGCAGTCTCTGGTCATCTGTACTATGTCCCTGGTATTTTCCCTGTATTATGTCCACAGTCTCTGGTCATCTGTACTATGTCCACAGTCTCTGGTCTCTTGTACTGTGTCCGCAGTCTCTGGTCATCCCCTGTTATGTCCGCAGTCTCTGGTCATCTCCTGTACTGTGTCTGCAGTCTCTGGTCTCCTGTACTGTGTCCGCAGTCTCTGGTGTACTATGTCTGCAGTCTCTGGTCATCTGTACTGTGTCCGCAGTCTCTGGTCATCTCCTGTACTATGTCCGCAGTCATCTTCTGTACTGTGGTGCAGTCTCTGGTCTGTACTGTGTCCGCAGTTTCTGGTCTCCTGTACTATGTCTGCAGTCTCTGGTCCTGTACTGTGTCCGCAGTCTCTGGTCATCCCTGTACTATGTCCGCAGTCTCTGGTCATCTCCTGTACTGTGTCCGCAGTCTCTGGTCATCTCCTGTACTTTGTCCGCATTCTCTGGTCATCTCCTGTACTGTGTCCGCAGTCTCTGGTCATCCCTGTACTATGTCCGCAGTCTCTGGTCTCCTGTACTGTGTCCGCAGTCTCTGGTCATCTCCTGTACTATGTCCGCAGTCTCTGGTCATCTCCTGTACTGTGTCGCAGTCTCTGGTCATCTCCTGTACTGTACTGTGTCCGCAGTCTCTGGTCATCTCCTGTACTGTGTCCGCAGTCTCTGGTCATCTCCTGTACTGTGTCCGCAGTCTCTGGTCATCCCCTGTACTGTGTCCGCAGTCTCTGGTCATCACCTGTACTGTGTCCGCATCTCTGGTCATCACCTGTACTGTGTCCGCAGTCTCTGGTCATCTCCTGTACTATGTCCGCAGTCTCTGGTCATTACCTGTACTATGTCTGCAGTCCATTGGTTCAGAATATTTTTTTTCTTGTTTTTCGCCTCTAAAACCTAGGTGCGTCTTGTGGAGCGAAAAATACGGTACATCACAGTGCATGTACTTGTAAGGTCAGTGGACCTGGTGAGAGATAGCTATAGCTTTTTGGCTGTCATTTTAAACACCCTTTTATAACATTAGGACACTACGGTGGATGTCACAGGGTTCTGGATAAACTTCAGTGCAAACATTTAAAATAGAAGCGATCTATATTTGGAACCATAATGTAACTTGACTGTATATCATTCTATTTATGTTAGTGGCAGTTTAGGTATAACCCCAAGCATGGACTTTTATTTGTTTTAACCACACATCTGCCATAGTTGAACAGTCCTTGTGACTAGGAATCCTTCCTTTTCCTTAGAAGGATTTGGCAAGGGACAGATGTTGCTAAACATTCAATGGAAATACATGTAAATCATTATATATGTGGTTTGTGAATTTTTTTTTTTTATGTAGGATACTCAAAAGAACAATGAAGTGGTTGTTAAAGGTTATGTAGACCCTAGCAATGAACTTCTCTTATTTGATCATTTTTGGTCTGTTAAAGTCACCATTGAAAGTGTTTTGTTATACCTGTTTGACAACAGCAAAAAAATGTTGGTCTTACCAAAAATCTCATAACTTCCTGTGCTCTCTGTCAGTGCTGACTGTTATCAGTTACATTGTTCTCATTGCACTACAGAACCATGTCCCTATATGTAATGGTGAAGAGGAGAGGGACAAAGTCTTGTAGTCCTGTCCTGCTACTGTTGTCCTGATACAGTAAGTCAGGTGAGCATTTTTATCCTAGGACTGGATGTGTGTTACTGGCAGAATCACTAGGCAAAATAAAGGAAAAGAAAATGAAAAAAAGAAAACCAATGCAGGCATTACATTATTATTATTATTACTACTATCATACTTTCCCTCTTTCCCCCTCAATTGTCCCTCTTTAAAGTCTGGTGTATCTCTATAAAAAATGTATTCAAAGTGGTTCTAAAGGAATTCTATGTATGAAGGTAAAAAACCTTCAGTGTACACCAGCCCCCCCTAATATTTACCTTAGCCCAATCCAGGGGCGGACTGACAACTCATGGGGCCCCCAGGCAATAGGGGATCATGGGGCCCCTGTGTCCTTGCCCACACTCAAATTACACCCAAAAAAGCCTATAAAAAGGTACCAGGGGCATTTCATGGGGCTCCCTACTGACCCCGGGCCCTCGGGCAGTGCCCAAGTGCCTGAATGGTCAGTCGCCCCTGGCCCAATCTCGTTCCAGCGCTGTAAATGACAGCCCCAGCCCTCCTGGATCTTTCCCTCCTCATTGGCCTAGAAACAGCATCCATTGGCTCCCGCTGCTGTCAATAACAGCCAGTAGGGGGTCGAGCAGAGCTGCGCTCTGCTGCATCTTATGGATGCAGAGAGTGGGGCTTGGGAGCGAATACTCACCAGTATCCACATAGCAAGTGGCCAAAAAGAGGAGGATCATCACTGATCTGTGCAAAACCAGCACACATAGCAAGTGAGTATGACATGTTTGTTATTTTTTTTTTTTTTTAAATAAAAAAGAGCATTTAACCACTTGCCTACCAGGCACTTATACCCCCTCATTTACCAGGCCAATTTTCAGCTTTCAGCGCTGCCGCACTTTGATTGACAATTGCGCGGTCATGCAACATTGTACCCATATGAAATTTTGATCATTTTTTTCTCACAAATAGAGCTTTCTTTTGGTGGTATTTAATCGCCACTGGGCGCTTTGCTTTTTGCGCTATAAATAAAAAAGTTGCAAAAAATTTGAAAAAAAAAAAAGTTTCTTTGTTTCTATTATAAAATTTTTCAAACAGGTAATTTTTTCTCCTTCACTGATGTGCGTTGATGAGGCAGCACTGATGGGCACTGATAGGCGGCACTGATGGGCACTGATAGGCAGCACTAAAGGGCACTGATAGGCAGTACTAATGAGGTGGCACGGATAGGCGGCACTGATAGACAGCACTAATGAGGTGTCACGGATAGGCGGCACTAATATGCAGCACTGATAGGTGGCACTGATAGGTAACACTGATGATGGGTACTGATAGACGGCACTGACTGGCATCACTGCTGGGCACTGACTGGCGGCACTGACTGGCACAGCCGCTGATCACTGACTGGTGGCACTGACTGGCAGCACTGCTGGGCTGCACTGGTGGGTGGCACTGGTGGGCAGCACTGGTGGGTGGGCACAGGTGGGTGGCACTGGTGGGCACAGGTGAGTGGCACTGGTGGGCACAGGTGGGTGGCACAGGTGGGTGGCACTGCTGGGCACAGGTAGGTGGTACTTCTGGGCACAGGTGTGTGACACTGCAGAGCGGCACAGGTGGATGCACTGCTGGGCACAGGTGGGTGCACTGCTGGGCACAGTGTGGGCGCACTGCTGGGCACAGGTGGGCGGAACTTGCGGGTGGCACTGCTGGGCACCGATCATCAGGGCACTGATCATCAGTGCCCTGATGATCGGTGCCGATCCTCGCTCTGACAACTGCGGTTTCTCGGCAGTACTTTCCTCACGATCTGACAGCGTGAGGAAAGTGCAGCCGAGAACCGGCACTTGCATTTCCCTCTGATCAGCGTGTCATTGGACACCGCTGATCACGTGGTAAAAGGCCGCTGTGATTGGCCTTTTACCACATCATGTGATCAGCTGTGTCCGTAGGACACAGCGATCACGGAGATCGCCGGGTGCGCGCAGGAGAGCGCGTTCTGGGGGGACGTCATATGACGTCCACTCAGAACTGGCCGGCCGCAGTGCAGCCGTTATTCGGCTATCTGCGGTCGGCTACTAGTTAATATCACTTTAAATTTAAATTTAAAATTTTTTATTTAAAAAATGTATTATTTAATGACCAAAAGTATTGGAATGCACTAAACTCTTTATCTAATGCTCACATAACTCTTTATCCAATCTCTAAATTATTGAATTTGCTATTTTGAAAAGCCAAATAAAAAAGACTGAAAGAAGTAAAAAAAAAAAGCACTTAAGGGTTCGGCTAATCATTTTTTGCATAGTAATTTCCCAATGGTCTTTGTAACTCTTTCCCATATCAGAAAGTTTGGAAGGTATGTTTAAGGACGGTAAGCTGAAATATAGTTCATTTTTGTTTTTGGATTTAGATACGCTTTCACAAAATGTATCCACCATGACCTCTGCACCATTTGGTTGAAGCTAGCAATCCTTTAAGCAACCAGATCACAAGACAATATAGGCCTAGTTCACATTTATTGCACTGTCATGGACTGTACAGCTTGAAAAAAAAGTGGACAGTTTACTTTACTGGACAGTTTCAAAATGCATACTGATGAAAAACAAGAAAATATACAGGCAACAGTGTGTTCAATAGAACATAAAAAAAATAATGAATATTCTGCCTGGGAAGAAGCAACTGCTACTGATGTTCTCAATTGTTTGTAAAATGGGTAATTATCTAATTTTTGATTTTCATTGAAGACTTGCCCATGCATGGTCACCATTAATAAGACCAAAAAAAAATAAAAACAAAAGCAGTTTGTTGGGGACTACAGAGTACATCTGTTGGGGCTGTAGTTTGCCAGAATGTAATTCTTTATGACAATAAGCGTTACATGGCTCTTAAAAGTTTTTCCTACTTGTGCCAGGAAGCTCATATGGGATAATACCGTGACCCTGGACTCGGATACATTCCACATCTGTCCAGTCTGGGAAAGAAGAAGGTTGTGTGAACTCAACTAAGAAACCAGATCTAGCAGATCTGTCTGAAATTTCTTTTCCCTGCTCCACACTCGAAGTGTAAACTCTAAGTAGTAAGAGAGCTGAGCTGACTAGAATTAGAAGGGAATGCTGACAGATTTAGCTGGATATAAGGTATCGGGCGTAAACTCCCTTGAACACATATGTCTACTCTTGAGTTGAGGAATGCATCAACAAAACATCTCTACATCCATTTCATACAGTCACATCCTTCCAAATATACAGAATCCTTACACAGCAGCTAAAGTTGGTATACTAAAATATACTGTATTAAAGCAGAACTCTAGGCAGATACGTAAAAGGCACAAATAAATTCAGTTCTGTAACATTACCACATCAATAAAGTGGTTGTATAGAATGAAGGTTTTTTACTTTCATGTATTCTATGCATGAAGGTAAAAAACCTTCTGTGTGCCGCGCCTCCCCCCCCTCCCCCGATCCTTACCTGAGCCCCGTCTGATCCAGCAATGTTCTTGACAGCCTCTGCTGTCTGGGGGCTCTTCCTCCTCATTAGCTGAGACAGCCCATTGGCTCCCGCTGCTGTCAATCACAGCCAGTGCGCAAATGAGGAGAGAGCGGGGGTTGGGGCGGGGCTGAGCCACGACTCCATGTGTCTTATGGATGCGTAAAGCATTGGCTTGAGGACATGCAGTGGTGCCCACGGGGCGAACAGCTTTCCCTAGGGGCACTGCTCAATGAGGAGCAGCCAGGAGTGGCATCGGGGACCCGAAAAGAAGAGAATCTGGGCTGCTCTGTGCAACACCACTGCACAGAGCAGGTAAGTATAGATACGTTTGTTATTAAAAGAAAAAGAAAAAAAAAACAAAAAAACAAAGCTTTAGTGTCACTTTAAATGTATAGTTTAAATGCTAACAGTGTAAGTACCTGAGTTTCACCTGGTATCGGCCTCTTGCAATCCCTGTACAGCAGGGCTGGAGTGTGAGAGGAGGATATAGCATAAGAAACCAACTAGTTTCATGTGCAGCATGTTGACAGGAGAAGAAAGCAGAGAGATGACCTCATCACCACGCTGCTTTTCCTTTCCAGTCATGGCCAGGGACAGGCCCAGGACAGTCTGGGCTCAAAAGAAGTGGGTGGAATGATGCTGGCCATCAGACTGAATCTTGTGGCAGAAAAAAAAAATACCTACAGGGGAGAGCTTTGGTTTG